TGTTTGTCATCTCTTTTTTTTTGTCGTGCAATGTTATCGCATGAGCTGATTGTCCCGTATCTGGTGGTGTTAGTGGACAGTAAAGTGCAACTTGTAGTTCCTTGGTCCATTTTCTTTCCTATATTAAAATCTTTTTCTCATTATTTCATCTTTCTTTAGATTGAGTCATTGGAATCGGTTGGTGTGACAGTTGTGCGCTCACCCGCCGTAATTGGTCAGACCATGAAGGAGGTGAGTGCGTGTAGCGGTGCATTCTTTCTTGGTATCTATGGCTGCTGTGTACCATCATGTTTCTGTCCATTGCCCTAGTAGATGTGAGAGTTTGGTTATTGCTGTGCTGCTTGCTCCAGCAAAGGCCCACGGCTAGCATTACATAATTATACCGTAAAGTCAGGGTGCGTAGCACCCTTGAAAACCCTGAAAGTTTTTCTTCCCCCGGGAATTCCCTGAAATCCCCTCAAATTTTGTATTTTGTAGAAAATGTTCCTTGAATCCCCTGAAATTTGTTTTCCAGATCACGCGACCTGTACTCAGCGACTGACTGTACATGATATGCATAGATCTCGAGTGCCAGTCCGGTCACCTCTACTGGTCATGTGAGTCTACGGCCTCAGCGGCCAGCGCAGCTCGCGTAGATCCTTACGGTATTTTTTACATTTGAGCCTTGATCGCCATGACTATCGACTGCGGTACGACGGTTCCTGACTGTAGCGAAACTGGAATCCGCCACTGCAACTGCTTTTCCGTTTTATTTGTTTGTTTTGGCCTTCAACAAGACAAAGTGTCTTCAGTTTTTTCGGAATGCCGAAGAAGCTTTACAGAGTTGTACTTGTTCTCCATGCGGAAAGGCAAGTGTGTTTTCAACGCTCGCTGGTTGTCTTTGGACCCGTACAAAGACTGGCTAGTTCGCTAAGAACTTAGCGATGGAGAAGCGTGATGGTGACGGTGGCTCTACTACTTGCAGTATTGATGATCAAATCTTCGATTGTTGACATTCTGAATCAGTGAACCTCTGAGTGACTACGGATATGTGGTGTCTAGCGACTGTATGACATCTGTGAATACCCTTGAAATGCCCCTGGAAATGCCCTGAAATTTTGTGTATATGTTGTGCTACGAACCCTGTAAAGTACTGTTGACCCCCCCCCCCCCCCCACACACACACACACACCTCCCAGCTGGTTTTCAGCAGGGGGCGGGGATTAGATCAAGCCGTTCAAGTGCAGTACGGCAAGGTAGGAGATCAGTCCTGGCATACTGGATTGTGCGCATTTTCTTCCTTCACATGCATGTATTGTGTACAGCAGTACATGCGTCGGTTCAACATCGTATCTCATCGTATATGCCGACGTCGCTTTACAGGCAGAAATTCGACAGGGGGCGATCAACGGTACCAGGAGTACATAACCCCCGAGAGTGTGCAACGCCTGGTTCAGCTCTGCATAGGGTCGTAGTCGAGCGTAGTCGGACCTTCCGATGCCATGCGTACACTCCACACTAGCGCAAGGCCAGTCTTGAGGCAGGGCACCGTTATTTTTGATCCGAGAGTCTGGTCGTGGTCGAGCGTAGTCGGATCTTCTGATGCCATGCGTAGGCCGGTCTCCAGGCAGGGCACCGTTATTTTTGACCCGAGAGTCTCCGCAACTCCCCAGGTTCCCGTCAGATGTGTACGGTATTAGGACGCGAAGATCCGATTACGCTCGACCAAGACCCTATGCAGAGCTGGATCAGGCGTTGCACACTCTGGGGGGGGGGGGGGGGGATTATGTACTCTTGACGGTACTTTACTGTAGTGCTGCAACTGTACAAATACAGCATCACGTTTGTTGTCCAGGCGTAGCAGTGCTGTGTTGATTTAGTGCTCTGTGTGCTGCTGTGGTTCTGACTTTTCTTCTTTCTGTCTATTTTTTGCCTGTTTGTGTGTTGCAGCTGTTGAACTATGGATCATGAAGTCACCCCCACCTTTTTATTACCTCTCGCCTCACATCGTATTTCTTTTAGATTTTCCTTAAAAAAATTAATAATAATCGTGCTGTTTCCTATACGCATGTTTCAATATCCGTGAGAAACCAGCGCTAGTTCCACTCTGTAAATCTGGCTTGAGGGGTGATTGGGCAATGGGTATAGTTGCTGGTGCTTCTTACAACATTGGAACTGAAGAATAGTTATACAAACTTATAGAATAGAATAGTAGTAGAGTAGAATATTCAAGTTCCTAATAGGCTTCCATAAACACAAAATTATGCTGTGAGAGATAAAATAAGGAAGATATTGTTTCTTTCTGCCAGTATCCACTTTCAGAGGCATAATGAGCAATTTGTTGAAGAACTAGTCATAAGATGATTCCTGCGAAAGCAGCCAGATAGGATTTGTACGAGCATGAACACAAACACGCATACACTCGCATGTATAAGTACAATGTTTTGTGTATATACATGGTGAGTGAAATGTGTTGCTCGGTTCTGGTCAAGTACATACTATGGTCGTGGTGGAAGGAGTCTGTATGCTAACTGTTTGCCCCACAACTGAATCCAGTAGAGCACTTGCACCAGACTGCTGTAGGTGATAATGTTTCCCAAAGGATTGAAACAAGCTGACTCGATGAATCTACAGCTAGGACTAGAAAGGCCTTGGGAACTGGATGCAGTCAAGAATGGAGTCCTCAGTGGCAGGGGTATGGTGCTTCTTGGCAGATGTGGCTCAGTGTGTGTTGGCTACGAAGTAATCGTCATCCTCAAACTCCTCATCCACACTCTCCGGGTGCCGCTTAGTACGCTCTATAGTGACTGGGTGCCCCGGTAATTTTGTCCTTCTCTCCCGCAACATTTCGTGTAGATCGGCGCTGCGCTTGCTGCGGCTCTTCCAGTCCTTGATCGGACGACAACCTCCAGCAGAGCGTCTGCGGCGTCTTGAGCCATCTTGGCCCGAGCCACCGTCTCCACTGCCACTGGCACCCGATCCAAGTTCTCCAGATGCGCTGCTCTCCAGTTCACAATCGTCATCATCTATTGGACACGCCACTGTCATATTTCCGCAGAAAACAAACCAACAACAAGAAAGACATTGCATGTCTTTGGAATGACAGTACTGGTTGTGTGACTTGTGTCCGTACAGATGCTGTACAAGTTGAACATGCCCACAAACAGTACCACAGTATACCCTTGCCGCTAGCACATACTTCAAGTAAATATGCGGCAATCACACCAAAGTACACACCCATCTCTCTCTCTCTCTCTCTCTCTCTCTCTCTCCCTCTCCCTCTCTCTCTCTCTCCCTCTCTCTCTCTGAACACATAGTACTTACATGGGCAGCATTTCCCCTTCCCGTCGTAAGCGAGGTCGTTGGCAATGCAACACTGTGAGTAGCCACTGTGCGCACTTCTCCTTTTACGGTTGCCGCTGCCATCAGCATCATTGCCACTACCAGAGCCTTCCTCACCAGATGCAGAGCCAGCATTATCACCGGCAGGTTTCACCACTGCAGAGCAGTCAACTAGCGAGACAGTGCAAGAAACAAACACAAAGAACAGTAGCCAATAGTTACTAACCAACCGTCGAGAAGGTGCATTTTAAATTACACCGCTACATGTAATCGGTTTTGCATTGTTCCACTCCCAATACTCCCCCTCCTGTAGGAGACTCGCGTACTCTAAAACAGGGATAACAGATATTGACTTGACAGGAGCCATCTCATAGCATGATCATCAGTTGGCGTTTGCTTACTCTGTCCACTCTGGCACTCTCCCATGCAGTAATGCTCCTCTCGGAAAGGACCAACACAACTGTAGCTGTTGTCGGCACGTTTCTTCAGGCATGGCCTCTCTCGTATCTGTAGTAACACACATGCGCGCATACACACAAACACAAGCCACCGCATCACGTGAATACACAGTGGATGCCGAGTTCACACCCTTGAAGCACTGCTCGAATGCAAGTCCAATCCAGGGTACTAGATATGAGACCGGACCATCAAGGATGCAGATGCATGCACACTGGCGAACTGCTTCACGTCCTATTGCTGGGGCATACGTACAGCGTGTACACATACGATAAGAGCTGTTCAAACTACTCACCTTTCCTCCAGCACCACACGCAGCACTGCACGGTCCAAACTGGCCCCACGGTCCCCAGCCATTGCTACCACCTGCAGTACCAGGGGCGGATCCAGAGATCTCTACAGGGGGGTTCCGGTTGAACCAAAATTGAACAGGCAAAATATTATGGAATCAGATTGTTTTGAAGTTGTGCGGTTGACACATGTAATTACGACAATCCGATTGTGTGTGGCAATCGCATGCTTTTAAAACACATTACGGACATATATTTTTCCATCATCGACCACACCATAACTGCACCCTCCAGCCGGCCTTGACACGTAACGTTGCCACAGCACACCACCATCGCTGGAGGGCGCAGTTGTGGTGTGGTGGACGATGGAAAGCCTGTACAGGGCCAAATGCTGCTGCTTACCCTACATTGTATAATTATTATTTAGTACGGACACATAATCATAATTATACTTGAGTACATGTATTCTTCTTCTTCTTCGGTAACTACAAGTCATAATAAATATGAAAATGACTGTGAGAGTAGAGTGTACATGTAGTAGAAACTTAGATCAGTTTCTCCAGTTGCAAGAACTGGATAGCTTCTGATGGTTGTGTGAGAATTGCCTCCCTGACTGACTGACGTGAAGGTACATAGACGTGTACATGCTCGACTGCTGTGTCTGGCAGGGCAAGCTAGCAGGAGGTGGGCAGCATCATCAACTGTTTCAGGACAGTGAGTGCAATCGGGTGAAGGTGCCGCCTCAATCTGGAACAAGTACTTGTTCAGCAGGCTGCAGTGGCCAGTGAGGAGCTGATTGAGGATGGTGGTCTCATGCCGGGACAGAGGGCTGCGGAACTTGCTGGTGTTGATTACATGTATGCAATCGACTGCCGGGCACACAGGTTCAGTGAGGGCTTGAAGACCCTTTCAACTAACTTCTTGTAAATATCG